TGCAGAGATTTGCTTTTTTTTTTCCCTCTCCCAACCCGATGGTATTTTCAGGAACAAATAGGCTGTGTTCTGCCTTGCTGAAGCATAACACAGAGCATAAATGAAAATATAAATATGGACAGGCAGAAGATTGATGGCAAAAACTGCTTTCTTTATTCATGCACAAAGTGGTGTGTTAGTATATGTGTGATTAGCGATGCAGCTCACAGAACAGCAATTTAAAGCTTCACTTTTAAACGAGCAGTTTAGAGAGCCGACATTTATTTACAGCTTGACAAACCTTCACACGTTGTGTTGTTTGGGCTAATGGACTATTTTGAAGTCTCTTTGAGATCTTAGCAACTCTGCGTCAATTTAAGTATTACAAAAAGAGTCCACAGAGGAGGACATGTTAAAAACCTCAATCAAGTGACATCTTCAATTGTGTAAACTTCTCAAACTGTGAACAGATTTAGCAAAGGCCATTTATAATAATAATAATCCTGTAAGAACTTGAGTAGGTGCTTATTTGGACACTCATTAGTTATCTTTCATCAGACTAGGCTTTGGCTCAAAATTATAGTTGATTATACAAGGTTATTGACAAACAAAAGAAGAGCTACCGTACATCACCATTTTACTCCGCCCTCGCTTTCAGAGAGCTTTTGTTTGATTTATTCTTGCACATTTGCTAGTGCATTAAAAAAAAAAGAATAACACAAAAAAATAAAAACAAAAACCTTTAATAATTTATCTGGATCTGATGTACAGAAGTAGAGTCTTAGTCAGCAGACAACCATCACTGACAGGGTCACCTGTCCTCATTTTTACTCTCCTCTATTGTTCCTCTTAAACACATAATACCCCAAAACCTTAAATCATTTCTACTCCAACCATCCATTTAATGATAAGGATTATGGTGTTTTATGGACTTTAGTCTTAAAGTTTAGATTTTTTTATTAGACCCATTTTTTTCAAGAATGAATGACTGCGGATGTGCATCTTAATAAATACCTAATACAAACTCACCAAAAAGTTAATCCATTCTAGACATTTACTTAAAAAGCTTAAAATGTTTGTTTCTTGAATTGGTAAATGGCTTGTACTTTTATAGCGCTTTGGTCAAGTCTCCTGACCGCTTTACACTACAATCATTCATTCACCCATTCATTCACACACTTATGGTGGCAAACTACATTGTAGCCACAGCTGATGTGGGGCTCACTGACAGAAGTGAGGCTGCCGTACACTTGCGCCACCAGGCCCTCTGACCACCATAAGTAGGTGATACGAGTGAAATTTCTTGCCCAAGGACACAACAATACTGAAAGCTGGAGCCGGGCTCAAACCAACAACCCTCCAATTGCAGGGCAAACTCCTACACTCAATGCTACTGTTGTCCCAGTCAAGTTAAATTTCTCAGAATAAGGGAACTGTAATTAAGACCTAAAACATATGTTTTAAATAAACAAAAATAGTAACCTACTGAAAAACCATTAACTGTACGGCACAGGCAAGTCAACGTAACTGAGTAAATGTAACTAGCTGCAATTAGGGCTGATACAATTATCAAATTAATTGTGATTAATCGAGTATTGAAATAATCATCAACTAATTTAGTAATCAATTAATCATTAACTGAGTTATCTCTATAGTTATGCTGCTATAGGTTTAGACTTTTGGAGGACATAGGGACCCCCATTTCATCATTCTGCTTCATTCTCTCTCTATTCTCCTATTCTGCAGAATCTGTTA